TTTGTCATCATCCAATAGCAGTTATTCTGGGCGCTTTGGCGGTTCAGGCATAGGTGGAGGTGGAGGCAGTGTCCAAAGGATGTATGCTAGAAGCGTGCACGGTGGTGCAGGTGGACATGGAGCAAGAATTTCGGTTTCTGGTGGTGGTGGTGGTTTTGGTTTTTCCAGTGGAGGTGGTGGTGGAGGTTTTGGTAGCGGTGCAGCCTTTGGCGGCAGTTCAGGCTTTGGTGGTGGTGCAGCCTTTGGTGGTGGTGGTGGTGCAGGTTTTGGCGGCGGGGATATCAATGTTGGTGCCAATGAAAAGGCCACCATGCAGAACCTGAATGACCGCCTGGCCTCCTACTTGGAGAAAGTGCGCAAGCTTGAGACGGCCAATGGTGAACTTGAGCTCAAGATCAGGCAGTTCTTGGAAAATAAGACCTCCCCTTCAGCCCGTGACTACTCAGCTTATGAGGCCACTATTGCTGACCTACGAGATAAGGTATGTCACATGAGTAGTGAATCTGAATGCTACACCACGTTTTAATTTATTGTGAAATGCATGAACTTTAAGAAGTTGCTTTTGAAATATAAGTCAGAATGAGTTGTTTTTAATGTTTGCACAAATATAAAGACATGTAGTAGTTATTTAAAAAATGGTATTTCATAATCACACAGATCCGGGATGCCATTTCTGTCAATGGAGGCATCTTTCTGGCCTGTGAGAATGCAAAACTGGCAGCAGATGACTTCAGAACCAAGTAAGGGATAGTAGTGGTTAAATGCTGTTTACACTAAACAAACACAGAACTGTTGAGATGAAATATCTGATCACTTGTGGCCTTGCAGGTATGAGAACGAGCTTTCTATGCGTACATCAGTGGAGGCAGATATTGCTGAGCTGAAGAGACTATTGGATCAGCTGACACTATGCAGATCTGACCTGGAGATGCAGATAGAAGGCCTCAAGGAGGAGCTCATTTTCCTTAAGAAAAACCACGAGGAGGTCAGTAGAAAACAGTGAACAGTCATTCAAGAAAATTTAAAATGGAACAAATTTATTCAACTGTACAATACAACCAACTCAATTAAAATACTGAACCATTTTTCCACCAGGAAATGGCAGCAATGAGAACCCAGATGAGTGGTCAGATCAATGTGGAGGTGGATGCAGCACCACAACAAGACCTGAACAGTGTTTTGGCTGAGATCCGTGACCAATATGAATCTATAACTGCCAAAAAAAAGAAAGAACTTCAAGCTTGGTTTGATCAAAAGGTAAGACTGAAGAAGATCTGATTTTCAATGCATAGATTGTTGTTCAAAGTTATTTAGTGATATATGAACTTTGCATTGAGTCTCATGTCTGTTGCAGTCAGATGAGCTGAGCAAAGAGATGACTGCGAACACAGAAATTCTGCAAACATCCAAAACAGAAATCACTGACCTCCGTCGCACATTGCAAGGCCTGGAGATTGAATTACAGTCACAGTTAAGCATGGTAAATAAAATCATTTGGCTTTATTCGAACTCATTCACTAATCCCAGCTTCAGATTTTTGACAGATTTTCTTTACCCCTTCATTTCTTCAATAGAAAGCAGGTTTGGAAAACTCTCTGGCTGAAACAGAGGCACGGTATTCTATGAAGCTTCAAGGCCTCCAGATGCAAGTAACAGGCATGGAGGAACAGTTGATGCAGCTCCGTGCTGATATTGATCGCCAGAGCCAAGAATACAAGATGCTCCTCGACATCAAAACTCGCCTGGAAATGGAGATTGCAGAGTATAGGAGGCTGTTGGATGGAGAGGGCAGGTAAGAAAAATGAAGAATTCAGCCCTTTCACCATAAGCTAGTTCTGCAAATTTAAATCTTAAACTGATTTTAACACCAACTCTGTACTTTTCACAGCATCCAAAGCTCTGGATCTTCCAGCGTCACCAATAAAAAAGTGGTTGTGATCACTGAGGAAGTAAGCAATGGCAAGGTGGTGTCCTCCAGTACCCACACCACCAGTCCCTAAACTGTCTCAAACAGCAAACACAGCACAACTTCTGGAGTACACAAATTCCACATCTAAGTCACTACTACATCCTTCAAATACTAACGTGATGCAATAAAAGGCTCTCAGTTTGCTGACTGGAATTTTGTCTTATTTGTGTTTACTTAATTTCAAATGTCATGATAGTGACAGTTCCACAGTTTTTCATCAACCAAGAAGGTATTTTTAACAGGTATATTTATATTTCATAAGGTATTTCATGACATTGGTGAATACTAAGATAATATTAGTATTTTGAAAATATAAACTTGGCTGAGAATTAAATTAAACATAACAGCAAATATAAAGTTGCAGCCTGAGGCCATCTTGCTAGATAGAAAAGCTAAAAGTAATGATTACTCAGGACTGTGCCTCTTTTCAAAATTTCCATTATGACACATGAGCCTAAGATGTTTTATAGTCTTTAGAAAGAGAGCAATAAAGTAAAACATTTCTGAACCTGTTGAGTACACGATGACACAAAAACATTTAAAAACACGTTACAGTCAGCATTTAGACTTTATTTCATATTTGGAATAGAATAGAATAGAATAGAACAGAATAGAATAATCCTTTAATTGTCCCACAGGGGGAAATTTGGGTGTTACAACAGCCAGAAAGACACATATACAAACAAACAGTACACAAGACAGAACAGAAACATACACATTTTTTACATGTTTGCATGAAGGACAATGGTTACCAAAAACTGAGTACCATACTGTTACTAAATTAAATAAAATTAAATACAGATAAGAGGCAATCCCTGGTTATAGTGTGAATCGGTTTATAAAATAGTGCAAGATACAGCGCTGATGTAAACATCTATGATTGTTGGGAGCAGTTCTGATTGTACTGTCTGACAGCTGCAGGGAGGGAGGACCTGCAGAAACGCTCCTTCATGCATCTAGGATGCAGCAGTCTGTCACTGAAGGAGCTCTGCAGTTCAGCAACATCTACATGCATGGGGTGGGAGACTCTGTCCATCAGAGATGTTATTTTGGCCAGAGTCCTTCTGTCTCCCACCACCTGCACAGGGTCCAGGGTGCATCCCAGAACAGAGCTGGCCTTCCTAATGAGTTTATCCAACCTCTTCCTCTCAGCTGCAGATAAACTGCTGCTCCAACATACAACACTGTAAAATATGACAGATGCCACCACAGAGTCATAGAAGCGCTCCCTGTACTCCAAATGACCTCAGCCGCCTCAGCAGGTAGAGTCTGCAATGACCCTTCCTGTAAAGAGCATCGGTGTTGTGGCTCCAGTCTAGCTTATTATTCAGGTGAGCACCCACTATCTCTATAAGAGTCCACTATCTCAATGTCCACTCCCTGGATGTTCACCGGTGTCAGTGTGGTGGGTCTGCATCTCCAGAAATCCACTACCAACTCCTTGGTTTTCCCAGCGTTGATCAGCAGGTGGTTCTCCTGACACCAGTCCACAAAGTCCAGAGTCCACTGTCTGTACTCTGAGTCGTCCTCACCTGTGATGAGGGAAAACGTGTGTATGACATCAAGAATCAACAAGTTTTTGTTCATTAAAATTAATGGATCTTCCCACCCCTAACATATGTGATGTGAGCAAAATGTTCACCATGTGGATTCTGATAGACTTCTCCGTCTCATTACACGTGATTAAAGCTGCATCAACCAACATTTTGCCACTAGGGGGCAGGGAATGTGTGCATCAACACTAGCAAAACAGTAAGCAAACAATGTCTGTGCAATCAGAAGAAACAACATTATTATTATCATTGAATCTCTTTACTATAAACCGATCATTATGTCACTCCATCATTAACCCTCTCAAGGCAGGCGTTGCCGATTTGCAACAGTTAAAAACTAACAACCTGATTACCCCACATACATATTTTATGAGTTTTTTTTACTCAGAAGTACCACTGCAGGACTTGGTTGTGCATTAGCAACAAAAAGTTTAATTTGAGCCTGAGAGGGTTAACCCACTCTTTCCTGGCACTCCCTGTACCTACACCAGGCAGAAACTATTATTATACTCTGCAATTTTACTTCTAAGTTTATAAGAAGTTAAAAAAAAGCCTTGAGGCGACTTTTGTTGTGATTTGCCGCTATATAAATAAAATTGAATTGAAATTGAATTGAATTAATCAAGCTTGGTAGAGATGGGGTTGAGAATTTGTTTAGTACCTGCTCTAAACTAATTTTAACAGCTTGTTATTTTTTTCCTTGTACTTGTCTTCAGGAGAGATAAATTTATTTTTTGTCAGAAGAAGTGTCTCATATGTATAAAGGTTGTTTAGTTTGAGCTTACAGTTTTTTGGTACTCACTGAATTTGATTAACCAGGGGTTTAAGGAACAAGAAAAGACTTTACATTACATAAAACCCTATTTTGTACAGGTTTATGATAAAGTATCTTGGTAGTCAACATAGACTGAATGTAAAAAGACACTGATATGTGAAACCCTGTTTTAAAGCCTAAATGTTCTGTCTCTCTCACTGCATTTTTCACTCCTGACAGCTGGGATGGGTTCCAGTCCCATTACCCCACAACCCTGAATTGGAGAAGTGGTTGAGAAAATTAATGGAATTTCATTAAAATACTTCAACAGGCACCAACACAACATACATGACTTTGAGTGACTCAAATTTGCCGAGGCAAAGCTTAACAGACTGCTAACAGCTACAGCCACGTCAAAGTTTTCCAGCTGTCAGTCATAACCTCAAAGCCTGTCTGCTTAAATTAAAGCATTATTACAATTTAAAAGGGTGGCTTCTTAATAAAACCAACCCCTTTGTTGTTACGAAAGGAGATTGGCTACAGAAAAGGGGCTTAAATTCACCTTAAAGCTGCAAAATTGACAGTTATTTCTGGTTTTTCATGTCATGCATATGTTAAATAAAACCACACTGACTAATGCCACATGCACATCTACTATAAAGTGACAAAAGAGATGAAAACCTACATAATAATTTTACATTTATGTAGACGCCACACATGAAACTTTAATTCAACTGCATGATCTTTATTTTTTGATCATTCATCCCATATTCCACGAGCTTCTATCTATTCATCCCTAAATTGACCCAGATTATCAACGGTCTCGCTGGTCTGCACCACCCTTCCATCCACAATTTTCTCCACCACTGTGATGACCTTTTTGACCACTAAAGAAAAGAAGAGAAAAAACAAACATGATAAATTCTCAAGACATTTCTTAAAACTGTATCTAATGTAAATTTATGATATAATTTGGACAATTAAAAAAAATGATACGAATGATACAAAAAAAACCTTTCTTGCCTTTTTTTGAGCTGCAATAAGTGCTGGTGCGGATGGGGGGTGGGAGAGAAATCATTAGTCTGAATCATTCATATCATAAACAATTTCAACAAAATCAACAAATGTAGATTTTTCCCCCTCTGTCTCTAATGTTCTCTCCCCTGACTCATGATTTTCTCATCATATTTTCTCATTTTTCTCCACTGCCTCTTTCTCTTCACTAGGTCTTACCTGTCATCCTCCCCATCCAGCAGCCTCCTGTACTCTGCAATCTCCATCTCCAGCCTGGTCTTGAGATCCAGCAACATGTCATATTTGTGCTTGTTGTCGGTGATACTGCTGTGGATCTGGGAAAGCTGATCCTCCAGGCTTTTGACCATATTCTGAAGGTTTGTTAGCTTCATGGCATAGCGTCCCTGGGTCTCTGCCAGAGTTCCCTCTAGAGATGTTTTCTGTTTGAGTTTCAGAAGAAAATTGTTCAGTGAATAGGCAGTCAGCAATTGTGTGACATACTGCAAACATTCCCGTCATACTTAATGGACAGATAAAATGACATCAGTTCCAGTGACATTAAACTGATGTGTGTTACCATGGTCAAATGGCCCTGCAGTTCAATCTCCAGTCTCTGGAGAGTGTTCCTCAGCTCTGTAATCTCTCTTCGTGTTGTGACCAGAACCTCAGTTTGTGTTTGCACTTCCTGCTCCACTTCTGCAATCTGAGCAGAAACACAACATCATAATATGTTTCACTCCAGTTGAAAGATCACTTCATGGAAATAATAATAATAATAATAACTTCACTTCTCACCTTGTTTTGATACCACAATTCGAGCTCTTTGCTGTTCTTTGCAATCACACCCTCGTAGTGCTGCCTGATCTCTGCTATAGTCTCGTTAAGGTCTCGAGAGGGAGAAGCGTCCACGGATACATTAACCTGGCCACCCATCTGAGTCCTCAGTAGAGCCACATCCTGCAGAGTTTAAAGGGCAATAAAATTTCACAAAATATTTCACAAAAAAATCCCAAGTCCTCAAAATAATCTACCTGTTGTTATGATAGTCATGCGTGTTTTTGGCTCTTTAATCTGCATGTGTGTTCATGTGTGTGTGGTGGGTGCGGGTGTTGAACAAACAGAAGCAATGAGGTAATGGAGAAAGAGAAGAATACATGGAAGTGTGCAGAGAGAAGAGGGGCAGCAAAGGGAAAAGGAGAAGGTGGCAGAGCTGTTTATAAAAGCATGAACCTAACACTGCATTTCCTCTGTATTATCAGGGGTAAAACATGGGTCATGTGTGAATTATGAACAGCCAGCCACAAAAGCTTGCAATGAAAAACAGATGTGATCTCATAAGGTTGCCCTCTCAGTAAACTCGCCTCTTCGTGGTTTTTCTTGAGGCTAATGACGTCTTCCTTCAGGGTTTCATACTGATTCTCCAGATCCAGCCTCAATAGGTTAAGATCATCCGTTAGCTTCCTCAGACCAGCAATGTCTGCTTCCACTGCCAGTCTCATGGCCAGCTCGCTTTCATACCTGAGTGAATTTCACACAAAATGTCAGATGGACAAGTCAGCAGGTTATCACAATCAGAAGCTGTGAGTCAGACATGTGTACGTGTGAATGTAGAAGGCTTATAAACATACAGAGGGCACACTCACTTCACTTTAAAATCATCAGCAGCCAGTTTTGCATTGTCAATGTCCAGGATGGTCTTGGCATTGAGCATGGAGGCAATACAAATCTATGAGTGGGCAAAAACACATGGAAACAGTCAGAAAACAATCAAGCTCTTACTTCAGGTAACAACATTTGAGTTCCTCTCTACACCTGTGCTGCTTCTCTGTGTAATTAACATTGTAATATTCAGGACTTAACTTAACTTATGGGTCAGTATCTAAGTCTTTGACAATGATGAATGAGCTCATCTAACTGAAAAGTTAGATACCAAAAGATACCTCTTCTGTTACACTTACAATGAACATTGACAAGCAGGAATTGCTCAGGCAGACTCTTATCTGTATCTTTTCTCTTACCTTTTCCTTCAGATCCTCGATGGTGGCGAAGTAACCCGAGTAGTCACGGGAGACCACGTTTCTGCTCTGGTACCACTCCCGGATCAGGTTCTCCAGGTGCTCATTCTCCTTCTCCAGCTTGCGCACCTTATCCAGGTATGACGCCAGACGGTCATTCAGGTTCTGCATGGTGGCCTTCTCATTGGCCCCAACATGGAGGTCGAGACCATCAGCAAGATTCAAGCTTGGTGTTCCACAGCTCATCTGGGATGAAGAGATACGGACTCCACGACCTCCTGCTCCACCATAGACACTCATGGTGTTCTGCTTGAAGCTTCTTGTCCTCATAGACATGTTGAAGGGTCTTGATGTGAACCAAGTAGGATAACTGGAGTTGATCTGCAGCTGAGTGCCTAACTTTGGCATTGTGGTTATATAGTTGCCAAAGTGGGATGGGCCTTGCATACGCTGAAAGGTAAGAATGCAGTTGACAGCTCAACCCCCCCACCCCTCTATGCAATCCCTCCATCACCATGGGTGTGGTGACCAGTGGGCAGGGGTTCATTCACCTCTTTTCAGGTCAAACTTGTGATTCCACATTTTGTTGCAACTCAGTGAAAGCACAGTGATAAGTTGAAAATTCCTTTTTCTAGATAATCCTTTCATCAGTTTGTTTTTTGCCCCTCCCTTTTTGTTTGCTTAGATGTTGGTATGAGAAAAACATACATTTCAAAATCCAAATCTGAATACTTTGTTTATCCTAGGGTGGAATTGCATTACACTGAAGTGTGGATATGAAATAAGAATGATATAAACTGCAGTTTGTTAAAATGTTACATGTCTTGTTAAGTACTCCAAAGTTACAGAGAATGTATAAAACAGTGAAAGTTTAGGTTCTTTTAATCCTAAGAGACTGCAGTGTGTAGCTATCCTGTAAAATAGTCACTCACCCTACTTACTCATAGCAGTGACAAAAATAACACATACCAGCGATAATTTCACCTGTGTGGTACTCTATGTCAGCTGACGTTATTTTTGCCACACAAGCTTCTAGGCAATAGACAAAAGACTGTATTAATTAAAACTTACACAATGTAACTGTAACACAATAAATGAATGGATGTGTTTATATTTTAAGTGATCACACAGACAAGAGCATGCAGCACTTGTCTGTACAAGAAACTCCAAATTTCATAACAGGAGAAAATACAAAGGGAAGGAAAATCTAGCACAGGGCTGATCCCACGAGCCACCAGCAGTTCTGTGTTAATTAGCAATTTTAAATCTTGTTTGTTAATTTTTTTTAAAAATAAAAATGACTATTAAAATGTAATATATCTTAGGGTAGGCAAATACACAGCCAGAAGCTCAATTAAGTGATCATGCTAAGCTAAGAGGTTGAACATGGTAAACATTACACCTGCCAAACATTATCTTGTCACCACTGCCATTGTGAGTACATTAATTTGCTGATGGGGCATCAAGTAAGATCCACAGAGCGAGACACTAAAACACAAACATGTCCTAAGTGGAAAGTCTCTGGCATTTTAGAGAAAGTATACCTAATAGAAATTTATGTTTAATTAGCGCTTATAGCTGATTGTCTTATAAAAGTATTAGCAATCTTTTGGGCCCACAACAAGTAGGTTACTCATAAATGTAATATGTTTCACTAATTGCATAAACAACTTGCAAAAGTCAGATGTTAACCTATCGAGAATGCGCCAGCTGGTTTTACTGGTTTGTAGTTATCAGGCCATACTCATGAGAGAAAACAATCACCTTGTACCCCCTCCCCCCACCAACCTATCATCATTCAGTCACATAGCCTGGCTGCCTCTCTGCCATCATTTGAGTTCTTCAGCTTCCTCATTCAGCAGTCACACCGATAAGCTGGGAGAGGCCAGAAAAAGGAATGAGTGGTGGTTGGTTTGCATCTAAGGAATGACTGTCAGTCTCAGTCTGTTTTGCAAGAGAGAAAGTAGCATTAGAAGCACAGACACTACAAACTATATTTTTTAATAAATAATATTATTATTGATAAGGTGATTCCTGTTTTAAACACTTGACCTAGTAGTCCAATTTTAGACTGTGTTGTTTGTGTGTTTGTGTGTTATATCTCCGTTTAGCATCATCAACAAGTGTGACGACCTTTAAAAAAAGCTAATCTTGTTAGTATGCTGGTCTGGAGTATTCAGTTATGTGGTAACAAAATGCTTCAATCTTTCCTTGAGTGAAACTCGCATAAAATTCACCCAAAGCCCTGATTGTGCAAAGCTCAGAGAAACAGTAAAAAACCCCTGAGCTGCATGTCAGACTCTACATCCTCTTCTTTCTGAAAAGAGTAAAGTATTCTACAGTCAAATGTGAAGCTAACTGTCCAAAAGCTAAAGTTTTGCACAAGCTGGGTCATGCAGCAAGACAATAATCCCAAGCATACATGCAAATCTACAACAGAATGGCTGAAAAAGAAAAGAATCAAGGGGTTGCAATGTTCCAGTTGAAATACAGTCCCCATCTGGACTGAAATGCTGTAGTCAGACTGACAGAGCTGTGCATAAACGATTACGCATAGACCATATGAATTGAAGCAATCTCTAAAGAAGAGCAGGTCTAAGTTCCTCCACAACAGTGTGAAAGACTGATAAGGTCATACAAATGCCAGCTGTTTTATTGTTATTCCTGTTTAAGGTGGTTCAACAAGCTATTAAATCATTGGGTGTATTTAGTTTTTCACATGATGTCATCAAGACTTTGAAAACATTTCACATGACTGAGCTCATGTTGATTGCCAGCAAAAAACTGTAACTATAAGGTACAAACAATGAGGATACAAGAATACCTTGTTCACATTGCAGTAAATCGTTCAGTTCTTAATGTGTTTTTTTATTCATGTCATCTCATCTAGTTCATGATAGGATATCTTATGTATCATATTTATTCAATTTATTTTGACTGATTTTGAGCAACACAGTCAGTTTTGGAAAGTCAGCCTGCTTTCCTCAAAGCCTCGGGGGCTTAACAGCCATCCAGTGAAGAAGCAACCTGATAGCCTTGGTTGACCTGACGGACAACTTTTCACGTTACCATAATCCTTTCAAAAACTTTTCCTCAGGTCACTGTTGAAAGATCTTTTAGTTCAGTTTAAGATGAAAAAAATGTCGCACTTCCCGCCAATGCCTTGTGGTGTTACTACAGGTTCACTGATTTGTATATCTGATTGCATATCAAGACACACTTGCATGCTTTTTAAAAAGTTGAAAAACTTCTTTTTTGAAAATAAGAGTTCATAGATGGTAACAGCAGCTGTTCAACGAGGGTAAATGTAATCGATTTATGGAAGAGTGAATTCCAATGTCACAGCATTATCAGTTTAAATCCCACTGATCCCAAATCTGAGATAGCAATGGATCTAAATGATTATATCGTATGGTTAAATGATCATCCAGTGTTTAAAGGGGTGGGCAAGAGAAGAATTTACAAGATTCAACTTTAGACCAATCCTGACCAAGCATGGGCTCACCACCTTCCATCAGCTCTCCACACCCACTTAATTTTGCCGTTTCAACAAGAAGACCAGGCAGACAGATCAAAAGGAACCCACATTTTGACTTGCAATAAAGATCCAGAGCTCCACTGTGCACCTTTTTTTCTTTTTACTCTTCAGCTTCTTTTAGTCATTAAATCAGAAACATTCTGCAGCTGTCATTACATGTTGGATACTCTGTGCATACTTGCGAATGAGCGTGTGCTGAATAGTTACACACTTTGTATATGACTCTGTGTGTCTCAGGGAAGAGCAAGACCGTGTGCCTGTTTTGTGACGTGATATTCATGTTTTAACTGCAAGATTATCTATTATTAAACTAATAATGTTACAGCATCAATTTCCTTTTATCATTGATTGTATTTATCTATCAGATGCCTCAATAAGAGAGGAAGATGATGACGAACTGTCTTTTGGAAAATTAAGTTTAGCATACCTGCTGCTCTCACTTTACACAACTTTCATGACCCCTTTGGGTGTGGCAGGGTGAGTCACTGAAAACATGCTTAATAATCTACACAGTGAGCAGTTCTGTGTGTGATACAAAAGTGATACCTTTGGATATCGCTAGATGGTGCACTTCTACTGAGAATCTCACCTGTATGCAGGGTGTGGCCCTGTGAGAGTACATTAGCCCAACAAGACCTTATCTGACCTTCTCCTTGTGTCTCTGTGTCTAATCTTTTTATGTTCTATTAGTTTCTTTATATATTTAGTATTAGATGTTTTTAGAATAAACAACAGACCAAGCATGTAAGCAGATGGAAGTTAAATTGTACTTTTCTTTCCTTCATTTTCTGCAGAGGGTAGCTTTAGGTGCCCTAAATTAGCTGCACTTACCAAACTCTGAGGTAATTAAGTAGAATCCAGAAAGTGCTTGTAGTACTTTGAGAAGAGAAGAAGCTCTCCTTTAAAACATTGAACAGTGGCTTCACTGCTGGAATGAACCATGGTGGGTCAACACACTTCAGTTTGCTCAAACTACTGTTGATGAATGGACATGAGTGAGTCTATGCACAGCTGATGATTTACTGCATGATGAGAGAGGGAATATAAACCGAGCACACAAAATCCACCATATAGATATGCACACAGGTTGGTACACTCACACTTTGAATTTTCAGTCAATAAATTAGCCCAGGACCTTTGTCAGAAATATTGCTGATTGTGTAGTACAGACCTGATAGTTAAAGTGTATCTGATAATGTCTGTGGAAGGGTGTGGTACATTTAGAGACTCTAAGGACTGTGTTGCTCCATACAGACTGTGATTCATACTTTCTCTGCAATGAGCTCCACTCCCTACTGTTTGTGCATTGTATATCTGTAACCAAGACGGAGTTGCATTCATAGCTAGACGTTGAGGATGTTTTATTTATTTCTTTATTTGTTCATATAACTTGGGAGCTCCCTAATAGATGATAGATCCAGACAAACATGCAATGACACTGTTCTCATTAATTGCTGAGTTAATATTGACACACTCTGGTGCAGTAAGGCTGCACAGTATATCCTGCACAAATACCTTGAATTATTAAATTTGTATTCCCTGAAAACAACTGCACACCAGATGCTGAAACGAATAAGAATTACTTAATTACAGCTTTACTTTTGTTTTCAACCATGTCTTTTGTCCCATTGCTTTAGTTGTATTGCACTAAATGCCAGCATCAGCATGGTAACATGACAATAATGAGCCTATCACAGACACTGTTTATTGTATTTTTCTGTGTTTACTGAGCAACCTCGACCTGAACAATGATCCATTGATTAAGTGCCAAAAATCACACTTCCTATCGTGGCCACTTGAGGTTAATTTAGAATGCCAACATGTGCTGAAATGCTCCA